TTAAACCTCCTATTTTTCTGTGTCACCACATTTTTGTAGTCGTCTGTTGTTTTGGAGTGGTAACTTCGTTACTATAAATGTTGACTTTGCTCTGGGGCCACATGCTGTGTTGTTGATTGTTAGTTTAAACAAGCACTGCTCCTCTGGGAGTCAGAGTCCAACTTGGTGTGAAGAGGCAGAGGAGAAAGCAAAAAGCTTTGGGTCACAACCCAGCCTTGTCACAAGTGCTGCTGCTGTCCCCAAGCCTCTGGAAGGGACCTTGGACCAGCTCCTAAGAAGGGACTTGGATGGTTCTTTTGCTCCGAAACATTCTTGCATGGTCTAAACCTTAAGCTGAGCATTGAAGTCCTTCTGCACACTCCTCACCCATAGCCCCTCAGAAAGCTGTATTTCACCTATGGACAATTTCCATCTCACCACATTGGAAGACTCAGAGCCAGCTTTCCAAGATGCAGTCACATCTCCTCCTCTATCATTTGCTGAAAGCTCAGGTATGCTCACACTCACCTAGATGATTACACAAGGGACAATGGCAGTCCTGCTTACAGAAGTACTGAGTAATGTGCTTTTCTTTGCTAGCCAGGGGAATGAGTGCGTGGCACAATTATCTTTAGTACATTTAATCCACCCTGCAAGTAAGAATAAACTTTTATCGAGCCTATTTGCTCGATGATGTATTCAGGGCTGTTTTGGGCCATCTCATCACTGATTACCCATTTGCTGAAGAATCAATAGATAGTGATGAATGACCTGTAATTGAGAGGTAAGACCTACCCAGCCCTGTAACTGTTTGAAGCTGGGCAGGCCATGTTCACCCTCCCTGACTCATTTTGTTTTTGGCTGAAGAAGACTAGTGACACTCTGTTGTGAAGGGACGGTGCAGAGAGTAAGGGGAAGAGCCTTAGCTTAAATACAGGTGAAGCCAGGAGGTCCCGTGTAAGGCTTCTCATGGCCCTTTTTCACAGCTTTGTTGTTTTCTCAGCAGACCAGCCCAGGTTACACCTGCATTATATCAAAGCTGGCCTTGAGCCCAGGAACCCAAACCACTGGCAGCAGGAGAAGCAGATGCAAAGCACTTGGGACCCTGGCATGGCAAACTGTGTCTTAACATGAGAAGAAATGGAGGCTGAGGCAAGTTTCCAAGCAGCTCTGCCCGCTGCAGAGGACACCTGCAGGAACTGCTGGGTTTCTTAAGACTGAGATGAATCTCTGGGGAACTGTATGCCACTTGTGGCTACCTTGGGCAGGTAGTAAGGATATTCCTCCTTTTCCAAGCTTACAGTGGGTTTTCTGGTCCAGACTCCAGAGAATCCCACCAAAGCCTCTGAGCCAGGGGTTTCCTCTAAGTAAAGCATTTCTGGAGACCTCAGACAAGCTTATTTGAAATAGCAGGCACAGAGGCTTAGATGGAAGCTGGGCTGGATGCTTAGGGCTGATGGGAGTCGAACACAATGTCAAGAGAGGCATGAAGTTCAGAACACACCTTTACTCCCAACATTCACTCACCAGACCCAGGGACGAGTGGGTAGGACAGGACGGGGGGACTCCCTACTGGGAGAGAGCACAGAGGAGCCAGTTTTCCTTCAATGGTGCTGCACTTGGGCAGGGTGGAAGGGCACAGTCACCTCCTGCCCAGCACAGCCATCTCCATCACAGCTGAGATGATGGTGGAAGCCCACTCAAGCCCCACTGTACTTCTGAGTGGGATGAGAGAGGAAGGACAACCCACCAAGCCTTTTGCTTCCCCTTCTGACAGCTTAAAAAATGTTGACCAATATTTTTTTCATAGTCTGAGTATAGACAGAGCACAACTGATTTGGACGGAGTTTCAGGGCCCGTGAGCTTGTTTCAGTTGCCCAAAGACAGGCACTGGCTCAATGACTATGGAATTCTTGTAAGGTACTGGACTGTACCGGTCCCATTTTAGAACTGTCAGGAAAGGTACATGGAGACAGCACAGGGACAGAGGCTTCCCTGCAAAGTCTCTGCGTATTAGCATCTCTCTAACGCTGAGATGTTCAACAAGCTCCAGCTAGGTCACCGCACACTGGTTTCACAGGAACTGGCTTCTCATTGCAAGGACAGAGAAACAAAAGCAAAGGTGGTGACCTCTGCAAGCCATCTTCCCTGCAGAAGTCCCCCCAGAAGTCTCCTAGACACAACTGCCATGTGGTCTAACGCCCAGAGATGAGTGGTATCGAGGATAACGGGAGAGCCCACTGCAACTGCAGAGCCTTGAACCCCTGTAGAGACCTCAGCAAATATTTTCCAAGTAAATCTTTCCCAGAAGAGGATTTAAAATGCTCAGACTCTCCATGCAACCTCATTTGAGCCACAGTGTTTGGGCCCAGTGTCAGCCAGAGGCCTCAAACTGGGTTCAAAAGCACTTTTCTGGGGATATTCCTCTCATGAGAGCAGTCAGGATACCTCAGCTACCTGGGTGCAGCAGTGTTGGCAGCACTGACAGTTGATTATGGGGACAGAGCCACATTGCCAGGACCCACGGGGACACTGCAGATCCCCACTAGCCTCTTTTCTGCCACCCTCTAACCTCAAAACCACCAAGCAGGACAAATTTGCTTTCCTGCTACTACATTTGCTAACAAGGATGCCTGAGAACAGGCTGTCATACATGACACGGAGATATGTCCCATCTCAGAATCACTAAGGCACAGGCTAAATGACCAGCTTGTGAGAGGTTTGGTTTGACATCCGCGTGTTGGAGTGAGAGAAGGACTGAAAAGAGCACTTTATCACCTGATGGGTAGCAATGGTGCTGGGAAAGAAACCCCAACAACTTCTCTCCAGTCCCTCTTCTTTGTTAAAGCCAAAATATATGACCTTCCTCCTAAAACTATGTTACCTACAAGCCCCGACCAGCTGCTCTGTGATGAGAGCCCAGCCTCTCAACTGGTAGGACCTGGACATTTGACTGACACCTTAAGAAACACACCAACATAAGACACAGAAAGAATTCTTAAGCCTGCAGTGGGACTTGTTCCTCTGTAGGGAACATCTCAGCTTCACATCCTGTTTCTGAGGGACGCAGCAGGACAGGACACTAGCTGTAAGGGTCAGGGGGACCACGCCAGAGGCTGCTGCATGGCGAGGTGGCTCTCACAGTGGGCAGTGAGGAGTTTTTAGAGACACCAAAGCTGTGTCCACAGGACACCAGTGCCCACCAAGGTTGAGTGGGGACTGAGGGCAGCATAGCAGCAAACAGGTGGAACATGCTCATATTCATATGCTGAAGTGTTCCAAAATTCAGTTAATATCAGAATCAGGCTTTACCAGGCAGCAAGACATTACCAAGGACTGTTGTAGAGAAACTAAAGCAGTTTCTTTGGGTAAGCTTTTTTTTTTGGTTGCATTTCTCTTCATTATCTTCTGGAAGTCTCACAACATTTAACTAACAAGATTTTAAAAAAAATGATAATCTCCTATTTTGGACATGGGGAACAGAGGCATAAAAATGGGTCAAGCAAGGACCCAGTTGGGAAGTATCCAATTACAGATGCTTAGAGCTCTTTTTTCACGGTTCACATTGATATTCAGAACAGGCTCCTGCTGACCTCAGCTGTGGCTGCACATTAACTGTTTCTACACAGCAGATCACAGGGGTCCCCATTTCCAGGGCTCTTTGAAGCCAGCACCTAGGAGGAGTTGGTTAATGTCAGGATCTGTGTAGAATAGGTGGCCCAAACGCCATTCCTCAGTGCGGTTCACCATGACAGTTTGTTGGTACCCCTCTGTCCTCGCTACGTATCTGCAACAAATGGAGCAACACTTCTGGTGACAAGTCACTTAGTTGATGGCCTGAGCACCAGATGAGGCAGGAAAAGGAGAATGGGACTTTTAATTCAAATATATGTTAGGTTTCTGCTTCTTAGTGTTTGTTGGTATAATCAAAGATTTATTCCTAGTAGATTCCAGTTTCTGATTCGTTGTTCAAAACAAAAAGGTTCTCAAAGTGTTTTTATATCCCAATGCAAACTGGGGAGCAGAGGCTCAGCCATATAGTTGAGCTGCAGTGGAGCAGGATAAAGTTAGCCCAAATCACCTGATGCTTTCTCACTATTATTTATTTTCGGATTTATTTATGGGTATCAGAGGTGTTTTGTCTAGTGTTTGTCAAACAGGGATGAAAATAAGCAACAGAACTAATGATGCCTATCTAAATCAGAGTTGATCAGTCATTACTTCACTGTCGAGCTCCTGGTTGTACACTTACCATAACGGGATTTTAATGTTTTTGTGCATCTGGTTTTCCACAGAATAGCTGAAAATAAAACATCAGCACCCACCTCTGGGCTGGCAGCAGTGCCAGCACGTGCAAGTCCCCTCCAGACACAGTCCCCTAGATGATGCTGATGGCCTCTTTCCTGTTTTCCCATCCCTAGATGCCACCAAAACTTTTCCTTGCCTTACTTCTTTCCATGCCTTTGCTCCAGCTATCGAACCATGTACCTGACATCCAACCACAAACCCAAGAAAAATCCCCCCCATAACTTCACCATCCCCACGCTGCAGCCTACTTACCCAATTTATTGGGTCTGATCCTCATGGAAAGAGCCCAATCAGGTGCATTTCTGGGCAGGCAATAAAACCAGCTGGGAAGGATTTGGTACTTCCCTGATGAAGGGGGTTGGTTAATGTTGGGATTTGGGGGTGTGGGTTGTGAGCATGTTTCCTCCGTATCTAGGGGAAAAATCGCACTGCTGTGCCGAAGTCACCACCCTGAACGCTGTCAGCCTTCTCCCCTGCACCCCAGCCTTGGCAAGAGCTGGGGGTTTCCTCCAGCCCCCCCCGGGCTTCTCTCTGGGACTCATCTCTCCTCCCTGCGGGGATGGTATACGGGTTGGTGGGTTTGCACCGAATAGCCGATGTGAAGGAAAAATTACACTCCGACACCCATCCCCATCCCCGCCGGGGGTTGGGGCAAGCCCCTCCCGGCCAACCCCGGGGCCGAGGAGGCGGAGCCGGGACTGGGGCGGGCGGCGATGGCGGCGGGGCGGGCGCGGACGGTGCTGCTGACCGGATCCAACCGCGGCATCGGGCTGGAGCTGGTG